CTTATGTATTCGTCCGTTAGTAGCGTGAAGCTTTGAACACTCTTTGTACGGCAGATTCGGCACAATGTTTTGCCTCATTGCGATGTTGCCTGAAAATTTTGAACAGAAGGGATCACTGCTCATGCTGGTGCAGCAAGACATGTAAGGAGATGGCCTGGTCACAATCCAGCAGTCATATATCGACAATCTCAAGCTATGACAACTTGTTACATGTGTCTGTAATAAAAAAGGGACTTTGCGATGGTGTGGGGAGCTCTTTGAGTGGTGGGACTGTGGAAATCCAGTTTGTTTCGCCCGTAACAAGTTTGTTACGGGCGAAACAACGTCCCTCTGAAACGTTTGGATATGCCTATGCAACACATTTCTTCAATTTCATGAACTGCAAGTATTCTAATCCAACATCACCCCAATCTCAGTGTAAACTAGTCTCCAAATGTGCCTGCACAAGACTGTCACCCCTGTCACCCGGCATTCACATTGCCTTAACCTCCTCAAGCTTGTCGGGGTGTGACACGTGGGCATGAACCTTGTGACAATGGGCATTGTCACAAAGAAACTGGTACAATCAGAAATGCATTTTTGCTCATGCCAGGTTACCGACATCGGTTACCGATTACTGGGGACGGTTAACGGATAACGGTTCGCCCGGTAATCCTACCGACCGGTTACCCATCTCGTTAACTGGACCCGTTAGGTCGGAACCGGGCCGGAACCGGCCTGGAGTATGCCATTGGGCCTGCATGCCTACACACCTGGGACAGTACTGTTATCACTGCCTCCCACATCATCTTGGCACCATGCCCTTAAGCATATTCATACCTAAATTTATCCTTGTCATACTTAATGTGTGCACAGCACTGTCACCCGTGTCACCTGGCATTCACCTTGACTGCACAAGCTTGTGATGGCCTTAAGGCCATCACACCAGGGTGGTACAGGACCTTCCTGAAATGGTCGGGTTGCCGGTTTTCCCCTCCCATGCCCGTCGGGCCCACCCGATAGCGTTTTTGCATATCTTTCAATTTCTGTCGGGTGCCCCGATAGCCCATCCCAAAACCTGTCGGGCGACGCAAGAACGAAATTTCGCTGTGTGCCGCTTGAAATTACATTTATTCGTATTTTATATGCGCAGTTTCCAGTTCTCAGTTTGCAGTTCACAGTTCTGATATGCACGAACAAACAAACACACACACACAGCAACACATGCACGCCTGCACGTCTGCCTGTGGTCGAGATAAGGTAGTGTGCCCTTCGCTTATGTATCCAAGCACGGATCCCTGTACAGCAGAGTCAAAGGATAAAGAAGAAGAGGCAACGAAGTGAACGAATGCTACCACTACATTACATATTTCCATCCAGTTATATTTGTATGAATGCCATTATGTATCGCTGTAGCTGTCCGTCGCCGGAGGGCCAACCGACCGATCGGGCGGGCGGTCCTAGCGCCCCTAACCCTGTCGGGTCCCCCGACGGGAGCCCTCCAGGCCCCGTCGGGGGCTCCCGATGGCCGTTTGGCGTTTTCCCCCTTTTTCGTCGGGTCCGCCCGACAGCATTTTTCAAAGCCTATCGGGATTTTCAGCACAAGTGCCATTCCTGTCGGGACCCGATCGGACTGTCCCACCCTGCATCACACCTGTCACCTGGAATCTGCATAAACCTGCCTGCACAAGGCTGTCACCTCTGTCACAAGCCTGCGCGCATTGTTGTCACCCCTGTCACCCACCATCCACAACAGCCATCACGCAATGTTGTCACCCCTCTCACCCGGCCTTTCAATGTATTCTGGGCCCAGAAGCCCCACTAGACAGAGTACTCTCAAGCCTGCACGCATCATCCCGGGATCCTTTCAAGACTATCTCTGCTGCTTGCTTGTCTTCTCAATATGACAGCTGTCATATTGCCGCTGCAGCGGTTTGTACGAGCAAGCTATAGCTCGCTGAATCAGCAGCTACTATGAGTGCGTGAATCCATACATCATACATGTGCACCTTTAAGGGTTGAGGTCTGAGGCTTGTGATTAATTGTGCGCACATTTCTGTTGAAATATGTAGAAGTTTAAGAAAGAGGAGGCTGGATTATATATTTTTATTATGTATATGCTTTAGGACTACTCCTTGGTACATGTGTACACTTGGGGCTCGTTGCATGGCCTCGGCTAGAGCGAAAGGCGCAATATT